GGAGGAGACAGGAGCTCAGTGCAGTCTGAGGGTTGGTGGAGACAGATGCAGTTTGGAGATGCTGTCTGAGGACAGGATCCTTTCAGTCTGAGCATTGGTAGAGGTGAGAACTCTCTAGTGGCTGCAGCTCTGCTTCTCTGATCTTCAGCTTTCACCCCAATATCTGCCTCTGGGTTTTTATTATTAATACCAATTAGAATTCATGATAAAGACTTCTGTATATTTCACCACTTAAATCCAACCTTTGCCATTAGAGTGACTAGACACCCATAGCAACAGATCTTCTTTCTGGCATATTAAAAAAAAAATTTTTTTTTTGGCAGAAATTCATCTGTCTCCTTTTTCTGGACCTGGGAATAGCAATAGGAAGCACTTAGACTTTTCCCAAATATAATTCCTGGGCTCTGAGAATCCTCCCTACCCATGGCCTCTTGGGACTCTGGATGGCCTGTCCGTTGGCCAGAAGCACTAAGCATCCCCATCCTGGAAATGTGGGAAAGATGGTCTCTGTCCTTGAGAACTCAGGGTCTGCTGAGACAGACAGAGCAGACTCATGTGAAAGTCAGGCATACAAATATAACAAAAATAAACTAGATATGCGTGCGCGCAGCTGAGAGGAACCCAGTACAGTATAACTGTGGCCTCAAGGTCCCACATTAAGTCAAGGAGAGCTGGATGGAAGGTGCTAGGTGAGCTATGAAGACTGCCTTCCCAAATCAGGCACGCATTATTCGTTTACTTATCCACGGGTTTCCTAATTCTCATTAGACTTACAGAGGGTAGATCTCAGCTAGTCACTGAAATGTCTACTTACCGAAAATACCGCAGGTTCAACATCTGCCTTCATGGGGAGACTAACCAAATACGCGTGCACTGGGGTGGGTCAGGGTGGTGGGGGACATCAGAACATGTACACGCAGTCCAAAAGGGAAGTCAGCAAAGACTTAAAAACAGTGATGTTTTTGTCAGGTTCCTAAAAGTAAGGTTTATCCCTTCCTTTTGGAGACTAGGGCACAAGAACAAAAGAATTCTAGATTATTGGCCTCCCCAATCCTCCCACCTTGACTTGTGTACCAGTAAATGAACATTTCAGATCTCTCATTCAAGTCTGTCCTTATTGCCACTGCCACCCATGGCTGTGGCTCACAGTCAGGAGGACTGAGACATAGAAGGTGTTTGTGGACATGGAAATGGGCCTGGTATCGTTGAATGTGGGAGGCCTGGGTTTACAGAGGAGGAATGATCTAGAAAGTGGGTGCACAGCCTGTGGACAGTCATGTCCTCTCTACCCACAGACTTCTCACTGGAGGGGCTACAGCTGGACAAGGGTCAGTGAGGTCCCTTCCGAGGTTTGAGTCCCAGAAGTAAGATCTTGATGGCAGGTCTAGGGGATGTTCTTCCTAGAGGATAAGTAGACATGAGCTAATAAGTTGAGCATGGGGGAGCAGAGGAGTAGCATCTCAAGGTCCCCAAGATGGTAAAAGCCTGGTTTAACTCTGAAACTAGGGTGTGAGAGAGGAGATGAGGCTGGAGAATGGATTCCAGTCTATGAACCAAGAGAAGGATCCAACTATATAGAAGACATAATGGAGCAAGAAAGATCATTTGGAAGCTGCAAGAACATTCCTTCCTGGCTGAACTATGATGCGGCCAATATGGTACTTGATGTGGGAAGAGAGAGCAGGATGTTCAGTTTGGTTAGGCCTACAAGTTCTGAAAGGGGAAAGGTAAGGATGACACTGGTAATGAAAATGATGCTGCACATGCTGGCACACCACTAAATTATACCCACTGGGAAGGTTGAGGCATAAGCATTGTAAGTTCAAGGACAGCTTAGACAACTTACTGAGACTGTCTCAAAAAAGAATGGCTGGGATGTAAGCCAGAGATGGAGTGCTTGCCTAGCATGCGCAAGGCTCTGAAGTCAACCCCCAGAATAAGAGGGAAAGAAGGTTGAAAGGGAGGAAGGAACAGAGACAAGGAGGGGCAGAACAGGGAAGGAGGATGGAGGGAGGAAGGGAGAGGAAGGGAAGGACAGAGGGAGGAAGGGAGGGAGGGAAGGATGGAGAGAGGGAAGGATGGAGGGAGGGAGGGAGGGAGGGAGGGGAGAGAGAGAGAGAGTATATCTGGAAAGGAGCAATTGTAGAGAAGCTATGGGTTCAGGGGTTAAGATCATCAGAAAAAGCCCAAACCTCTGAAACAAGCTCTTAAACTGATGACTTAGCAGTGGGGGGGGGGTGATTTTTTTTCATAACCATGAATCCTAGAATGCCTGCAAACTCTAGCTCTGAGGGATCTATGCAATGCACATACTCACAGAGAAACTCACACAGACAGGAACATATAAATAACTCAATCAATAAATCACACGTTTATGTATATATGAACTGGGCCAAGAGTCTTATTCTCTGCTTACTCACGCTGACCATTGATATTAGGCAAAATAATCTCCTACAGGTAACACCCCTGGGCTCTGGGATCTGGGCATTCCCTGTAGTAGAGTAATAGTGCTGTGTGCCTTTTCATGTTTTTCTCTGTGACTGGTCTCCTGAAACTTTCTGAGCTGGCTGCACCCTTCATCTCTACTTGTAAAGTATAACTGCCATTTATGTTATGGGCAACATTTGATACCACCAAAATTTTCTTCCCTTTGTTTCTCTTTAATTTATTTTGTTTCATTGTTAATACTCTCACCACTTAGCACCATTAAAATCATAAATACACTATGCTATCACAAGAATTGTCCTGGCAGTTTGTAAGCTGATGTGGTCCATGTGTGAGTGTGTGTGTGTGTGTGTGTGTGTGTGTGTGTGTGTGTGTGTGTGTAAGAGAGAGAGACAGACAGAGAGAGAGAGAGATTGATTATGATAACAGTGCTTATATAATCTCAACAACCAGGGGCCCTAGGGACTCACACTCTGGGATGGAACAGTTGGTTTAAATTATGTTTCCATGTGAAATACGGTATTGCTATTTTTTCCCTAGCATGTGGGAAAGTGTATGGGAAATGATTTGACTGATAGGAAATAAATCTGTGTGTGTGCCTATGATCAGGACTGAGACACAAACAAGTGGTAGTCAGTGCTGCTCTGGGAGGAGCGGAGGAGCCTCTCCTGGGTGGGTGTTAACCCTTTCCACTCACTACATGGCAGGAGAATAGTGAGAATATCACAGTGACTGTCAGCATCAAAGGCCCTTGAGCCTTGGGGTGACGGCGAGGAACCATTCCTAAGGGTTCAGGATCCCATTTCCCTTGTAAAGAAAAGTTTGGTTTAGTTCCCATTCTAGGTTAAGGCCCATCAAAAGCAAACCAAGCTAAAGGAAGAATTGGCCAGTAACACCAAACCACGGCCAGTCTCTGTTGGTCCAGCAGGGCCAAGGTTTCATGAAATGACTGTTAAATGGTGAGGAAACAAGGCTTGGAGACCAAGCAGTAGATTGCTTGCAGCTGCCGGAGATCTCAGCTCTGAGAACCCCAGAGAATTCCTAGAATGATGGGAAGGGCTGATTCCAGGTCTGTTCTGGTTTTGCATGGGGCAGGCGTCCCCTGGAGCAAGGAGACAGCAGAGCATTCCCAGAGCCTCCCTGGTATTGTTGTAATAGGTATTGCTTCAGCCTAGTTCAGAAAGGAATCAGCAGTTTCTCACTCCGGTGCACCGAACACCAGAGTATAGCCCTGTTGTATCACTACCCTGACCCTTGCCCCCATTTCCATATTTGTTTCTGTGCCGAGGTTAAAAAGGAGATGTTGAGCCTCCATCCTCTACACTGATTTGGGCTAGTTTTTGTTGGTGATGGGTTTTTCTTTCATTGTCTTGGAGGTACAGTTCTTGGTGTGTTTTCCTGTCTTCAAATGTACAGCTCCAAATCGAGTGCTTAGGAGGATCCACCCAGGAAAGAAATTGTAACGTAAACAAATTGTCAGTTTTCATTAGCTAAATAAGTCCACTAAACTGAAACTTTATTTGTTTTACTCTTGGTTTTGTTGTGATGCTGGGAATAAAATTCAGGGCCTGGCATGCCATAGATTCCTGGTATGAAAAACTAGCATTGGACATCTCTCTATGTCATTAATTCTTATTGTTTCCATTTGTGGGCAGTGTGCCCTCTACCTCGAACTCCTATTTCCTCAGATGTTTGGGCCACCATGAACTGTGTTCAGTCCTCTTCTCACACAGGCTGAAGAAAGAGTTGTTCCTTAGGTTTCAGCTCTGTTGTTGACCCACATGCTACTAAGATGGTCAACAACAGACAACCAGTCAGCAAGCCTCTTGGGTACTAACCATCCCAGACTCTGACAAGTGAGCTAGCATAGTCAGAGTACTTAGACTGGCTCCTGGAGCAGAACTGTGTTTACTCTTGTAATTTTTTTTTCATTTGAAGACCATAATAAATTAGTATGTTAAGAGATTGTTCCAAAATGTTTTTGTGTTTTTTGTTTGGCCTCACCCATTTTATTTATTTATGCATATGTTTATGTGTGTATGCATGTGTGTGCATCTGTGCACATGCACATGAATGAGATCATGCCATGGCAGGCATGTGGATATCAGGAGACAACATTAGAAATTTTATTCTCTATTTCCACGGTGTGGGTACCAGGGATGAAAATCGGGTTGTCAAACCTTGATGGCAGGTGCCTCTACGTGCTTAGCCATCTTACCAGCCCTGATATCACACATTTGATTGCTTGAGAAATGTTTTCAACTTATGGGCTAAATGCATTGACTGCACTTACTCTTCGTGTCCAATTGCTGTATTCCATCAAGAGTATCCATGTGCCCTGTATTTTTCTAGAGTTTCAAGGAATCGTGTAGATCGAGGGATTTTACCCCAAGGCGGAGCTTTTTTATGTCAAGCTGAGATGAAGATGTGGACAGACTGACTTGCCCAGGGTCATTGTCAAAGCAGCAGTGGAGCTGGCTTTCACGTTAAAGCTCTTTGCTTAGTTCTTGCTTTCAGGACATGTCTTCAGTGAATGCCCACTCCCCATCTTCCAGGTGAGCTCCTGGGTAACATGGCTGGTCCTCACAGCAGGCTCCATGGAGGAAAAGCGAGAAGTCTTCTCATACTTGGTGCACGTGGCCAAATGCTGCTGGAACATGGGCAACTACAACGCTGTCATGGAGTTCCTGGCTGGCCTCAGGTACGAAAGTATGGCAACTTGGACATGTTTGTCTTTCTAGTCAGATATCTCTGAATTAATTCCCTGGGCAGCCAGCCACATTTACCAAGGTATGCAATTGACAGTGGTCATGAAGGGGAAATACACTCCTTTCTTCTAACTCCACAGCCCTGGACCCTCAAGGGAGGGGGAGAAGAGAGGACAGGGAGGGCAGGGAGGGGGCAGGAAAGGGAAGAGGGTCAACAGGGAAGGGGAGGGAACAGGTGTTGGAGGAGCTAAAAGTCCTACTTGGCTGGTTGTACTCGTCTCTATCTTCACAGACATAGTTGTGGATGATGCTAGAGGTCCTTCCCAGTGGCTACCTGTCTGCTCACCTGCCTGCTTTGTCAGAATCTCCCCCTGCATGATTACCTAGTGTATTAGCTTTCTGGTCAACTTAAAAGAGCAAGTGTCTATTTTTGGCTCCTGGTTTCAAAGTTCTCTGCCCATGCTTGCTTGGCTACTGGTGCCTGGGTGGAGGATGGTGACGTTGGGAGTGTGTGGTGGAGGGGCTTCTTTCCCTCATTGCGGACATGGTGGAAATGAGAGAGAAGCAGGGAAGGCCCAAGGCCAAGGTATTCTCCCCCAGGACCCTGCCCCCAGTAACCTTCTTCTAGGTAGACCACTTTCTCCTAAAATTTCTAAAACCCTCTAAAATGGTACCCCCACCAGGAATCTCCCCCAAATGTTTAAACATGAGTCTGTGAGGAATATTTCATATTTAGTATAGTATCTGTCAAAGTGTGGTGACCACTCAATTCTCAGGTCTAGTTCTGGGGCCCTCTCTCACAGGTTTTAGGGCCACCTCATCTGACAGGCTTTTCAAGATGGCTCACGCCAAGCTCCTTCCACACTGTCTACTCTGGACTCAAGAGAGACATTCCCCACTGGTTTGTCAACTTTGCAAAGGCAGAAAACATCTACAGAGCCATCTCTCCCTTGGCTGTTGGACAACTCCAGCCAGTTGCCCATGTTTAGGCAAGAGTTGTACAGTAGGTTCACTGATAAACAAAAACTGCCCCAGATGAGTGTCCAAGGAGTTCACTTGACATCCTCTCCCCTGGGGCTAAGTTCGTGCTTTTCACATAAGCCCTCTCAAATACTCTGCATAGGATTGTTTCCAACTGTCTGCTTAAATCTAGCTGTGTGTGTGGACTGAAGGAAGACGAGAAACCATTAAGGGCAGTCTGGACACCCCCTCATGGTAACATAACATCTCTCTTTAGACTGACAGCTGTGGTGTTACCTGTTGATCTCAGCAGCAGTTTCAAAATGGGAAATATTCCATTTAATGTGTTGCTATGCAACACATATTAATCCTACTTCAACACAAGGTCCCCAGATGGGATGGAGCTAAGGTCAAACTTTATTCTGTAAAAAATCTGTTCCTCAAGAGAACCCAAACTAGTAGGCTCCTTTTATGCCACCAAGGGACTCAAAGATGAGGAGGGACATCTAGGACATGCTTTCTGTGGACAAAGACTCAGAAAATATTCACACAAACCATGTGTTCTGGCTTTCTTTCTGTTCCTGTGATAAAAACCACTTTGATCAAAAGCAACTCAGAGAAAGAAAGGGGTTGTTTGGATTATGCTTCCAGGGCATAAGTCCATCATGGAGGGAAATCAGGGCAGGGACTCAGAGGAGGAGGAAAGGGGTTATTTGGATCACCCTCTCAGGTCGTAAGTCCATCTTGGAAGGAAATCAGAGCAGGAACTCCAACAAGAACTTGGAGCAGAAACCTGGGAGGAATGCTCCTTGCTGACTTAATCCTGGTCTTACACTTAGCTTTCTTAAGCAATATATTTTATAAATTTCTTGAGAATTTCATACAATGTATTTTGAATTTGTCCATCTGTTCTCCCCAACTTCTCCAATAACCAAATAACCACCCTCCTCACCCTCCCATCCCTTCCCATCCTACTTAGAGATTTCTTCTTCTCCACCACCTCCTCCTCTTCCTCTTTCTTCTTCTTCACCTTCTCCTTTTCCTTCTCCTCCTTTTTTTCTCTTCTTCTTCTCCTTCTTCTTCTTTTTTGCTTCCCCTATGGTAAGAAAGTGTGATCTGCCCTAGAATGTGGCCGGTCTACCAGGGGTCACATTATTAAAGAAAACTGACTTCCCCTCTCACAGCTGCTATCAAATGTCATTACCTCCTCAGCTAGTGGTGGGATTTGTTTCTACGTTCCATCCTCTATGCTGGGATTTTTGCCTGGCTAAGAGTTGTGTAGCCCTTGCATATGCTGTCACAATTGCTGGGAGTTCATAGATGTAACTGCCCTGTTTTATCTGGGCAGTTTTATCTGACAGTTTCCCTTTATCTATCACCTTTAGCTCTTCCAATATTTCTACTCACTCTTTCATGAAGATCCCTGAGCTTTGGGAGGAGGGCTATGATGTATATGCCCTCTTTAGGGACAAGCACTACACAGTCTCTCTTATTCTATGCATATTGGTCTATTCAAGGTCTCTGTGCTGTCATCTACAAGAACCCTCTGGTGAGGGCTGAGAGATGCTCTGACCCACAGGTATAGGAATACACCATTAGGAGTCATTTTATCATTGTGTCCATTTAGCAAAGTAATACTACTGGATTCTCTCACTACGATGTGTGACCTATCTAGTCACTGGATCTTGGTTTGTTTGTTTGTTTGTTTGTTTTTAACAATATCAGGTACGGGTTCCACCTCATGGAGTGGGCCTTAAATCCAACCAGGAAATGGTTGGTTGCCCTCTAACAGTGTGCTACTATCGCAATAGCTCAAAGACTGGTGGCACCCACAGGGGGCTGGACCATCCTCATCAGTTAGCAATAAGACAGTCCCGCATAGATGAATCTGATCTAGACAATTTATCTTCCAAGATGTTCCTCTCCGATGTATCAAGTTGACAATTAAAGCTGTCTAGGATACCGTGTTACTGTGAACTGAGGTTCTCTGAATTAGCCACACCTGTACTGGGGATCCAGCAGACTGACCTTGGCTAACCAGAGCATGCTGATTGAATGGAGAAAAGAGATATTGCAAATCAAGAGTCACCACTGTCTTGGCTGTGTTTAGTCTCTTTTACATCTGTTTATTGTCAACCCTGAACACTGAGGTGACTCTTAGGTAAAGTTTTTGGAATGTTTTACTAAGCTTCACAGATCTCTATCCCTCACCGGCCCTAAAGCTGGGAATGTAATAAGAGCATTTGAAATCAGTAGAATAGATTTCTCTACTTTGTCCATTCTACCTGCCTGCCATTCCCAGCAATAGGATGTATGAGTTTATTTTGTTCTGTGATTATCAAAGTTCATGTAACCTATTCCATGATGAGGCACATCATTCAGAGGAATCGGAACCTGTGTTCTGGGCAGGGTTCACTCATATTTACACAGAATAAGCCATTCTCTTATCTCCTTTGAAGAATAGTCATTTGACATAAATACTGTCAACCTTGTTTCCCTCCCTCCTTATGATATCTACCAGGGACACTCTGGTCAACATATAATTTTCAGCTTTATAATTAACCTTATTCCTTTTTGAGTTGGTCCTACTTAATTTTTAAATGTATTGTTGTGTGCATGGTACATGTGGGGTGTGCATGCAGAGGTCAGGGAACCACTTTATGGAGTTAGTTATGTGGGGGTGTGCATGCAGAGGTCAGGGAACCACTTTATGGAGTTAGTTATGTGGGGGTGTGCATGCAGAGGTCAGGGAACCACTTTATGGAGTTAGTTTTCTCCTCCCATGTTTACTTGGGTCCCAAGCCCCCACTCAGGTCCTCAGACTTGTGCAACAAGTGCCTTTACTACCTAAACTTCATAGTTTATTTTACATAAATAATATCCTCGCCATCTTGGGAAGTAAGTGAAGATAGAAATCCTAAATAAATAAATAAATAACAGGGAAAAAACCCACTAAGAAGGTAAAAGACAGTGAAGTTGTATGGAATTCAGGATGCATACTATAAGCTACATTGTCACCCCTCCGGGCTTAAAAAAGAAAAAAAAAAAATGTCATTTACTTGCACTAGGTCAAGGAAAGTTCTAAAGATGTGGCAGTTCATGGATCAGTCTGACATAGAGACGATGAGGAGCCTGAAGGATGTCATGGCTCAGCACGAGTCCTCCCTGGAGTACAAGAAGGTGGTGACTCGGGCCCTGCACATCCCGGGCTGCAAGGTGGTCCCCTTCTGTGGCGTCTTCCTGAAGGAGCTCTGTGAGGTGCTTGATGGCACCTCTGGCCTGCTGAAACTCTGTCCGCGGTACAGCTCCCAGGAAGCAGCTCTGGAGGTGGGTGTCTCCAAGCGGCAGTCCCTGAGAAGTCCTCCTGGGCCTCGTGCACTCAGTAACACTGCAGACAGTCACTTTCTGAGCCCAGAGTCATCCTTGCTGTGCTGTTTCTGGGCAGTGGGGGGGGGGATCCCCTTGGAAGTTCTGGAGAAAGCAACACCAGCTGCTTGGAACTCTTTGTTACATTAGGTTTACTATGACACTGGTGAGCACAAAGGGGGGAAAATGTCACTGGATTTTTGTTGTTGTTTTCATTTTAAAAGTTGATAAGTTTTTGCTATTGGGTAGAATGCTCTAGATTCAGAGAACAGTCAAGCAAGAGCAATAACTTCCAAATCAGTAGGTGGAGGAATGGATAAAGAGCCTTCTCTTCATGCACGTAAGAAGATGCCAAGAAAATGGATGCCTCATCCAGACACACAGGCTCTGACCCTTACCCCACTCTCCTAGGCCCATGGCTTCTGCTCTAGACTCCTGCCAAAGTGGAGAGGACTAAGGACTCGGTGCTCCTAAGTCACACTGAGTAAGGGGCACTGAGAAACTCAAAGGAAATAAAGAAACTTCCCTCTGGGGTGATTAAAACTAAAATAAAACTCTTTTTTAAATGTGTTAGGGAGATGTTTGAGGCATTATGTATTTGGAAATCTCAAGCCTGAATCCAGAGTCATTCACAGTCTCATCAGTGTGGATGGCAACTCTCAATACTGAACCTTCACACACACACACACACACACAGAGAGAGAGAGAGAGAGAGAGAGAGAGAGAGAGAGAGACATGCACATGTGCACATAATCCTTCTTTGTTGAAGTGGGAAGACTCATAAAACTTCCGCCTATGTTACGTGGCATGAGAACAGCGGCATCACTTGGTTCAGGAAGACTTGAGATCCCTAACAAGGCACAGGTGATACACTGGCTAATATTTCCTTGGTTTTAGCAGCTGCTATTAAACATCCAGTAAACAAAAGAGAAGGCTTTAAAAGGCCTTCCACCCTCCTCTCTCCACCGTTCCCTGTGGTGAAGGAGTACCACCTCTCTTGACTGAGCTGTGGGTCTTCACTCTGATTCTGGAAGCTTCCTGATGAAGATCAAGCCTCAATAATAGCTTAAAAGACACCAAGAAGCTGCTGTCTTCCTGTAGCCCATATGGGCAAGAAAGCCAAAATGCAGCCTGCATTTTAAATGTTTTTCTTGAGTCGGGTCACTCCATCTTGTTCCATGTCCCGGTGATCTTTAATCATGGCTCTCTCCCATTACATGGCTCAATTCCCATTACAAGAATAAAGTAATGGCCCTTCTCTCTAAAGTGGCTAACCTTGTCCCCAGGGAGCCATGAGACAATGTTGCTTTTAGTGTTATAAATTCCAAGTGCAGTTTAGATTCCTAGAGGTGCTGAGATCATCAAGGCAGGAAGAGGGCAAGGTTTGAGGTCTCGTGTGGTGGGGTGAAAAAAAAATAGGGAATAAAAGCTTCCCTTAGTTCTTCTTGCCTTCATTCAGTAAAATAGGCACAGATGCTGTTACCGCTATGACGATGTAGGTCTCCTAGCCAAGTAGGTTATTCAGGCATATTGAGTTGTGACGGTGCGTTCTTGAACTCTTCTCCTGTAGTTTGTGGCTGATTACAGTGGACAAGATAACTTCTTGCAGCGAGTGGGACAGAACGGCTTGAAGAACTCAGAGAAGGAGTCCACGGTCAACAGCATCTTTCAGATCATCCGGAGCTGCAGTCGAAGCTTGGAGATGGAGGAGGAGGACAGCTCCAGTGAAGGGACCGGCTCCAGGAAAAACTCCTTGAAGGATAAAACCCGATGGCAGTAAGTTTCAGTGTCAGTGTGGATGTGGGTGAGTGCCTTTCTCCTCTATTCCCACTGACCAGGTTTTTCCTAGTCAGCTGAGTTTCACATAAAAAAAAACTAATAAAAACGTGTCACCTTCATACCTAACTGAGACTCTGCCTCTAAACTTTACTAATTTGGAGAAGGAATTTCCCTTTCCAGTGTTGAGCTTTTGTCCTAAAACTACTATGTACGTTTCACTTTTTCCACAAGTCATAGCCTTCTTAAAGAAACACAGTTTATTAGTTTTGTTTTTTAACTGACAGTGACATTTTAGAAATGTATATATTAATGGGGTACATAGTAACCCTTTAAATTAACTGACAGTGAAATTTTAGAAATGTATATATTAATGGGGTACATAGTATCCCTTTAAATTAACTAACAGTGACATTTTAGTAATGTATATATTAATAGGGTACATAGTATCCCTTTAAAAAATATGGCTATGCTGCCATTTTTAAAACACCAATAATTGGACTTAAAGTTTGGGCCCTTAATCTTGTGTTTACTTTATAGTTTTTTGTGATGGTGGCTCCTGTTAAATCCTGGGTAGGGTGCTCGGGTGGATATTAGAATATTTTAAAATAAAGTAAAATAATAGGCACTAGGGGACAGTCAGAAATCAGTACTTGGAGCAGCCTAACCTGGGAACTGGGGTTCTAGCATCTCACATCTCATTTTGAGTAGCATTGCCCCAGGTGGTATTTTAGTTAGCCCTACACACTGGGATCTGCTATTTTACAAGTGTGCAGTTATTTAAATTGCTGCTTATCGGCACACACTATAATCTAAGCCAAACAAGCTCACTCACAAGGAAATGAAAGAAGAGAACTCAGTTGGGCACCTGTAGGCTTTCCTTAAGCCTTTTACACATAGCAGAGCTTGGCCCAAGGGGAGGAGCACTTCTCCCAAGGCTTTAAGTCAATTTACTGGTTTTGCCAGTCAAGGTTTTATGTGTAGTCAGTCTTGAGCATTACTCATTACAGTTGCCTTTGCCCCTAACCTGTGAGTGCATGTTGTGATGAGTTCTTATATTGACAAGGACAGCAGTTGTTTTGGAAAATGACTTCTTTGGAGTTATGCTAGGTCCCTGGGATTTGGTGCCAATGTAGAAATGTCATTTTTCTGAGTCTCTGCTGCCACTTTGTTTTAGGAAAGTAAACATAATTCTAGATTGCCCCAAGGCCTTTCTTCCACACGTCATTTCCTAGCTCACTCCACTTTGAAAGAGTAGTGCTCGAAGATTAACTAGTGCCATCTTTACTACAATGTCTTGGCTGGAATGATCGAACATATGGCATATACATCATCTGTTAGTTCTGCTGTCGTTTTACTGTGTCTCAAACCAGAGAATGCTTTCATATGTTCTCAATAGCAGACTTCTGCTATTTGTGGCAATCTTTACATGGTACATGGTATCAAGGCCATCTACAAAGAAGGACATCTCTACAGGAATCATCTCTCAGTCACTGAAATCCTTGGTCGATGCCAGTCCTGTCTACCAACCCCACCACATACCACATAGATAGCTATGTGTGTATCTGCCTCCACAAAAGATTTTTGGATATTTACAAGCGTAAAAGTGAATAATTAAGGAATTTCCCTCAGTTATTAAGGAAAATGAAAATAAGGATAGGAAAAAATAAAATACAATAAAGGAACACCATGTAATCTCTACAATGGCTAAATTTTATTCTGAAATTCTTAGTAGCCAAAGGGAAGGAGGACTCCAGGTTCATTGCGAGTCTCATAGAAAAGTCAAACAGACACTTTGGAGAAACATACTGTTTCCTCACACTGAGATCTGGATGAAATTCCTTCCTTAAATTCTACAAGTAGCCATATATGCATGCACAGTGATTAGACTCGGGGTCGGGGGGAGAGGGTATTATGTGAGGGGGCATGGCGGGGGGATGGGGGGGAGATGGAGATGTAGGAGGAGGCAGATATGAGCAAATTACATAGTATACATTTGTGAAGTCCTAAAAGACTGAATAAAAATCCCCAAATAGATATCATAGTCATCTGACATGGCACTATTTTGTAAAAACCTTGTATGTCTGTGGGTGTGGGTGGCATGTAATGATATCAGCATTTCTAAAACAATGCCACTTTTGACTGAGTCCCAGAGAACTAGCCCATGAGCTCTCTTTATTCTCCTTCCTTTCATCTGAATTTATTGAAAGATAAATTTCTTCCACTGTCCTACCACTCTTAGGAAGGTGCTCTCTCTCTCTCTCTCTCTCTCTCTCTCTCTCTCTCTCCCTTTCCCTCCCCTGCCTCTCTCTCTCTCTCTCTCTCTCTCTCTCCCTCCCTCCCTCCCTCCCTCCCTTCCTTTCTTTCTTTCTTTGAAGACAATATCTTGCTACATTTGTAACCTCTGTGGACACTGAACTCACAACCCTCCTTTCTCCAGCTACCAGCTGCTGGTGGATTACAGATGTTCACTACCACACTGGCTTTCTTAACTTCCTTTTACCTTCAAGTTTTGCAAGGATGTATAAAATATCCTTTAAAGTTATTTATGTCCCTTTTAATCTTTATTAATTGCTTTTCATTAAAAGCTGTACTTTTTAGACCGCATAGTATTCCTTTATGTGTTGAGGTTTTGTTTAGTAGAGCATCTGTGGATCTTTGCAGAGAGTCAGTTTTTTTAATTATTGTTTGGTTTTCATATAAAAAAAATAGGTTTCATTATAATATTTTCATGAATATATACCATTATACTTTTTTTATATTCTGTTATAATGGCCTCCCTCAATTCTCTCCCCAGTCTCTGTCTCCTTTCTTACCTGTCACCCCTCCCCACTGCTATGGACTGCAGAATTATGCACTGAGGGCTCAGCTGACAATACCACACATTCCGATGGAGGAGGCCCACACACAGGGCAGTGGGAGTACTTGCTTTATGAACAGCCACTGTCCTTACTGTAAATTCCCTGTGAAGCCACAGCGCTCCCCTTCCATGGTGGGATTCATCCCAAAAACTCCAACAGTGTATTAATCATTTACTGGGAACATCTTTCTCTGCATTGGTATGTTGGGTAACTCTCCCCAGCAATGCGTGATTCTCAACCAGATCTTTGTATAAACTTAGAAGTCTACCCCGCTGCAGTTATCTTCCTTGGCAGAAAGTTGGTCAGTGTTAGAGTCCAGGCAAGAATACTCAATTGAGACATTTACAGATGTTTAAGGACAAGAATTATGGCATGTCTAAAATTGTGAGCCATAGCTCCCAGAGAGATAGAGAACAAAAGTGTCCAGGATTCTCTCTGTTAGCAGGTAAGAAAGTGCTGTCCCAAGCTGACCTCACATTAACCTTAAAGCATAGCTATTCTTCACTTGCCAGTCTAATAACAATAGATCTGTGTCTTAAAGTCATCATTGGGCACTGTGCCCTCCATGTCTGGTCACGGTTTTGCTCCTATAGCCCTGGACCCTTTTGTCACCATGGTAAATGGCTCAGATCCTTATTGCTTGCTCTGGGAATGTGCTTTTGACCAATGAGAGAATTTTCTTTATCAATTCAAGGCTCCTGAAGGAGGAGAGGTTTTTAATGTTTGTTTGTTTTGTTTTTATTTAAATTAGAAACAATCTTTATATATATATACATATATATATGTATATATATATATACATATATATATATATATATATATCCCAGTTCCCTCTTCCTCCAATCCTCCCATGCCCCCCATTGACCCTTATCCCAGCCTTCCATGGGGGATCATCAAAGTCTGTCACATCATTTGGGGCCATGGCCTAGACCCTCCCCCATGTGTCTAGGCTGAAAAAGTATCCCTCTACATGGGATGGGCTCCCAATGTCCATTCCTACACTAGGGATAAATGTTATTTCACTACCAGAGGCCCCATAGACTGCCCAGACTTCCTAACAGGGAACCTGGTTCTGTCCTATGCTGGTTTTTGAGCTGTCAGTCTGCGATCCATGAGCTCCCTTGTTTAGGGGAAACCCACAGAGAAGAGTTTTAGAATGGAAGAAGAAGCTAGAAGAGGAAGCAAGGAGAAGCTGGAGTAGGACGGGATTATTAGAGTAGAAACAGACCGGTAAAGAGCACAGGAAACAAAGAGCACGACCCTCAGATTGTGTGTGGAGTCACTATAGAAATCTTCTACCCCCTCCTGTCCTAGGAAGCATTTCACCTTTGGGACCCTGGGTATGGGCTGGAGCAGGTCCCATAGCCCTTACACCCCACAGACCCTCTTCTGCTGTCACCCAATTAGACCTCTGCATCCTTTGTCACAGATAATTTGTTCTTTCACGTCATGGTGTTTTGGGGTTTTTTTTTTGTTTTGTTTTGTTTTGTTTTTCTAAATCCAGATTCCATATATCAGAAATAACACATGTGTCTTTCTCAGTCTGGCTATTCTTTTTAAACATGATTTCCACTTGCATCCATTTTCCTATGAATGTCATGACTTAGATCACTGTGCATATGTACTGTATTTTCTTTACCCATTCATCTGTTGGTGGACATCTAGGCTGGGTTCATGCCTTGGCTCCTGTAACTAGTGCCGCAATAAGAAAGGGTGTGTGTAAGTATCTCTGAGGTGTGCTGACTTAGTGGCCAGGAGTGTCATAGCTCGATCGTATGGTAGTTAGTTACTTTTAGTTTTAGGAACCCTCATACCTATTTCCATAGTGATATATCACAAAAGCTAGGAACCTGGATCACACTGCACAACCCATAGGTAACTAACTCGGCAGGTTGGAGTGTGGCCCTTCGAGGTGATTCAGTTGGTCTAAAATTCTTGTACCATTTGCAAAAGTGATCTTTTCTTCAAAGCATGCTTTTGATGTCTTTGTCAAAGATTAGGTGCCACTAACTGTGTAGATTTATTCCTGGTCCCTCTATTATATTCTATATGTCTACATATATGTTAGTAGCATGTTATTTTTGTTGTTCTTGCTATGATTCATATAATACAGTTAAATCTATAGGCTACACAGAGAAG